ATTGTCAGCAAAAAAAAAAAAAACTAAAACAAAAACAAACAAACAAACAAAAACCAAAAAACAAAAACAAAAACCCATTCCTCCCCAAGTTGCTTTGGTCATGATATTTTATCTTAGCAATAGTGATCCTAACTAAGACTGTAAATGGAGACTTTTCTGTCCTGCCAGGTCTCACAGCCACTTTTAAAATAATCACTCAGAGGCTTAATATTTATTACAAACCATTTGGCATATTGCTCAGGCTTATTGCTAACTAGCTCTTACAACTTAAATTAACCCATTTCTATTAATCTGTATTTTGTCATGTGGCTTCATGGCATCACCTGTTCTCTAGTATATCTTTTAACGTTTATTTATTTATTATGTATACAGTGTTCTGCCTGCATGTGTCCTTGCAGGCCAGAAGAGGGCACCAGATCTAGTTGCAAGTGGTTGTGAGCCACCATGTGGTTGCTGGGAATTGAACTCAGGACCTCTGGAAGAGCAGTCAGTGCTCTTAACCATTGAGCCATCTCTCCAGCCCTAGTATATCTTTTTTTCCTGTGGTTTTTTTTTTTTTTTTTTTTTGAGACAGGGTTTCCCCGTGTAGTTTTGATGCTTGACCTGGATCTTGCTCTATAGACCAGGCTGGCCTCGAACTCACAAAGATCCACTTGGCTCTGCCTCCTGAGTGCTGGGATTAAAGGCATGCGCCACTGCCGCCCTCTCTAGTACATCTTGTTGCTCCTCATTGGCATCTGCCCCTGACTCTACCCTTCTCCCTGTATCTGTGCTTGGATTTCCCACCTGGCTCTATCCTGCCTTGCTATAGGCTAAAGCAGCTTCTCTATTAACCAATAGTAATAAAACATATTCACAGCATATGAGGGGTTATCCCACAGCAAAGACAGTCTTAGAGTTATTGATTGTTAACAAGTTGGTACAAAGACAGTGTGGAATTGCTCTAGCACACCTGACCATATTTTGGGAAGAATTGTGGAAGGATATTGGACCTTTGGGCTAAAAGAGCCATTGGGTGTGGAAAGATCAGTTGGTTATTTTGTCATAGCTTTGCAGATAAGAATGCTGAAAGCAGTGTGGATGTTAGAAGCCTGGCCTATGAAATTTCAGAAGGAAGCAAAAGATCTAGCAGGCTCCTTGTGTGAAGAGTCTGTGATGTGTGGTCAGTTGGTGCTGAAGGATTGACTGCAATTAATAAGAGATCAGAATCACTAAAGCAAAACCTTTGTTTTACTGGGACAATCGAGCTGGACAATCAATTGGTGCTGAGAAATCAGCAGTGATTAAGAAGAGACAAGCACCACTGAGGTAGAGTCTTCTGGGAAGTGTTTCCTGAAAGGCAGCACACAGAAGCTGTATTTCAGAGGTGGCCAAAGTTGTACCTCACACTGGCAGCCAAACATAGACATTTAAGAGTCACCTGGGTAGTACTGGTTTTCAAGGCATGAAGGGATCATGGAAAGCAGTTGAGGCTTGGCATTGTGAGAGGCTGGGACAGGCAATTGGTGAAGTCACAGCCTCAGTAGCAGTCGAAGATCCAGAGTGAAGGGGTCATGCAGAGAAGTTGAGGTGTGGCACCATGAAGAGGAACTAGAAGAGGCAGTGGGTGAAAGTGCAGCCCGGTTAGATGCAGCAGAAGATCCCAGCGATTTGGAGAGACCAGTACAACGCGATCATCACCAAGAACAGCAGCGGCAGAGGAGAGATGCCTCCCTGAGCTTAAATGACAAGATGTGTATGCTTCAGAGAGCAGAGACAAAGAAGTTACCTAAGGCCCTTGGAGGAGCCCAGAAGATCATGATAATTGGACATTGAGTTATTTACACTGTTAGATGTGGTGATATTTTAATTGTGCTGAAATGTGATTTTATTTGTTTGTTGATAAATAAAGTTTGCCTGGAGATCAGAGGTCATGGCAAGCCAGGGACAGCAGTCAGGCGGTGGTAGCTCATGTCCTTAATCCCATCACACGGCAGGCAGAGTCTCTGTGTGGTCAAGGACATAGCCAAGTGTCGTGACACACACCTTTAATCCCAGTACCAACCATAGAGACCAGGAGGTCTGTATAGTGACGAGGAAGAAGTCATGGCTGGGCTTAGAGCCAATGAGAAAGCAGAACAGGAAAGCAATAAAAACACAAGTCAGACATTGGAAGTCTCTCTGGGGGAAGGACAGCAGCGAGTGGTAAGCTAAAGCTAGGTGACTCTTGCTTTGATCTCTTTGACTTTAACTCTGTATTTGGCTCTGTGTTTCTTATTTAATAAGACAGTTTAGAAATTCGTCTACAGTTAGAGTTTGGTTTTGCTTTGTTCATATTGTGAGTGGACCCTAGTTCTTCCTTCTTGAAGAAAGTATTCAGCTTAATTTTGTTTTCACAGGAGCCAACAGCTGAAGGACTTTGAATTTTTAAAAGTGATTTTGGATTTTTTTTTTAAAGAGACTGGATATTTTAAAGAGACTGAACTTTTAATGTGCTTAAATTTATAGTGACTATGGGACTTTTAAAGTTATTTATGTTTTTTAATATGAGATCTTAGGAATGAATGAGAAAGGAAAGGTTGTGGCTTAATGGTGATCTGTTTGTGTGTCAAGTTGAAAAAGGGTCAATTGTGCTTGATACCTTTATGTCCACTTGACACAAAATAAAATCATCTGAGAGAAGAGACCCTCAGTTAAGGAAATACCTCTATAAGATTGTGCTGTATGCAAACCTGTAAGGCATTTTCTTAATTAGTGATTAGTGGGGAAAACCAAGACCATTTTGGGTGCTGCCATCCCTGGTATGGTAGTCCAGGGTTTTATAAGAAAGCAAGCTGAGCCTTGTGGAACAAGCCAGTAAGCAGCACCCCTCCATGGCCTCTGCATCAGTGGTTCCTGCCTCCAGGTTCCTCCCCTGTTTGAGTTCTTCCCATTTTTTTTTTTTTTTTTTTTGGTTTTTCGAGACAGGGTTTCTCTGTGTAGCTTTGCGCCTTTTCCTGGAACTCCCTTGGTAGCCCAGGCTGGCCTCGAACTCACAGAGATCCGCCTGGCTCTGCCTCCCGAGTGCTGGGATTAAAGGCGTGCGCCACCACCGCCCGGCTGAGTTCTTCCCATTTTTATCTAAATAAAAATGAAAAGTTTTAACTTTAGCATAGTAAAATTGTATGCCACAAAAACAGTTATCAAGTATGAATTACATTTACAATATTCATTCCATGTGTACTTAGCAAATTCAGAGAAAATGTTCCATTATGTATCTTATCTTAGTGATTCTAAAGTTTTATACATAATTTACTTTCTATCATAACTAAAGAAAACTATAACTCTAACTTCTTAGTCTTTAACTCCACCAAAGACCCCAGAAGGATGTAAAATTATCTAACAAAAGAAACATCTGGCTGCCTGGATAGTCACCCAAAGTTTCTCTGCAAGGTTGGGGCATTCATCTTTGACCTACAGGCCTGGCAGACTTTTCAGTGAAGCAGGACATTTCAAGGGCTAGTCCACCTTCTATAGGCAAAGTTCGTCAGTCATTTTCCTCTGTGTTCTGCAAATATCTGGCAGATGCTTCTGTGAAGCAAGAATCTTGAAGGACTATCCAGGCTTGTCTTAGCAAAATTCCCACTTGTCTTGTCTATACAGTATACTGTCAGCAGTCAAGGCAAGGTCAGTTTCTTACTCAAATGGCTAGCCTTGCCACATTGAAAGAAAAATCTATATGGAGTTTCTTCAATGCCCATCATCATTTTATGAAGTAAATTGGTGCTACCAGGAGCAGATGTGTCTCATTGTCATGAAAAACCTTAGGTTATTAAACATCTTAAATACCACATTCTGTAGGTCTCTGAAGTGTTTGAAAATTATCTATCTATCTAAAATATACCTGTTTAACCTTGAAAACATATCTAATGTGACTACAAGTTTGATTATTATAGATTAACTACTAACATCATTTCTTAATTAGGCATTGCATTTTTCAAATGAGCTGTATAAGCACATTACCCCAAACAAGAGTAGAAACATATATTACAGTAACACAAAAATAGCTCTAAATGTGTATCAATATACCAAAATGCATGCTAAAAGAAAATATCTGAGATTAATAGTCTTTTTTTGCTATATTCCTATATTCCCCTAAATAAAAACAAACATCTATAATCCACCAAGTAACCAAAAATCATTTACCCCACTGCTTAGGATTATAGGCATTATATTCTCTAGACTGCCTTCTGTTGTCTGTGGGAGAAGGCATCTTCAGGGGTCCCTGAGAAAATTGAGATAATGGCTAAATCCTCAGATGACCAGCTCTAACCTTTGTTGATATATATTACCAGTCAAGATGTAGGAGGTCTCCCTCAGTCAACTCTGATCCATACTAACCCTGAAAGAATCCACAGCCTTTTGTTTCCCGTGGAAACAAGAGCATAAGCTCCTCTCCAAACAGTGCATTTTTTGAGTTCCATTTTAAAGTTAAGGCATTCTTAAAATATCTAGGCTAGTTTATTTCAGCAGTCCCCCTTTCAATCCCATTTCTCTCAGCAGCTGTCATTTGCTATTCAGCAATCAAAAAATTCAAAGACAACAGAATACCATGTAGGATCCAGACTCCCTGTATATTTGCCATTTCTATGTGGCTTATTCATTTTTTATTGTTTTATTACTTTACTTCTCTCTTTAAAGGTTTTTACTTTATTAATTTTAAACTATTTCTTTCTATAACTGTCTATAATCCTTTTCTTTTCTTTCTTAAGCCTATGCACTTTATTAAACACACTGGAACCTGTATAGGTTTTTTTTTTTTTTTCTGTATGAACCTGCTTTACTGTGTGTCTTTTATCCTTTTGTACAATGTGAACAAACTTTAAATTGCTAAGCTAGAGCTGGGTCCTCTACCAGGCTCTAGTGGCTGACTCCATCCTCTTCTCAGGTCTGTGAAAGCCAAGCCTTAAGCCCTGGTCCAGAATTGTGTTTGACCAGGAACTGTATTCAATCTCCCAGCTTTAAGAAGTGGATGCCGGAGTCCGGGCGCTGCAGCCCGTTCCCTCCGGTCTCCAGACGGCGTTCGGCAGCAATGGCTTGGCCCCGCGTGCAGCTGGTTGTCACCGCTGATGACTTTGGTTACTGCCCGAGGCGCGATGAGGGCATCGTGGAGGCCTTCCTGGCAGGAACTGTGACCAGCGTGTCACTGCTGGTCAACGGCACAGCCGCAGAGAGCGCGGCCGAGCTGGCCCGCAGGTGCGGGAGGAACTGGAAGCTCAACTCAGCCGCTTCCGGGAGTTGTTGGGCAGGTCCCCCACGCACGTAGACGGGCACCAGCACGTGCACGTGCTCCCAGGAGTGTGTCAGGTGTTCGCCGAGGCTCTGCAGGCGTTCGGGGTGCGCTTCACATGGCTGCCAGTAGAATGCGGCGTGGGCAGCTGCTCGTGGCTGGAAGCACCAGCGCGTGCCTTCGCCTGCACTGTGGAGCGCGATGCCCGGGCTGCCATGGGCCCCTTCTCCCGCCTCGGCCTGCGGTGGACCGACGCCTTTGTGGGCCTGAGCACTTGTGGCCGCCACATGTCTGCTCACCGAGTCTTGGCGTCACTGGCACGGGCCCTCGAAGAGATCCCTGCTGGCCGTGCCCTGACTGCCGAACTGATGGCACACCCAGGATACCCCAGTGTGCCTCCAGCAGGGGGCTGCGGTGAGGGCCCCGACGCTTTCTCTTGTTCTTGGGAGCGGCTGCATGAGCTGCACGTCCTCACTGCACCCACCTTGCGGGCTCGGCTGGCCCAGAATGGTGTGCAACTCTGCGCCCTAGACGACCTGGATTCCAAAAGGCCCGGGGAAGGGGTCCCCTGTGAGGCAACTCTTGAGCCCTTCCTGGAGCCTTCCCTACCCTGACACCAAAGGCTAGCTACGAACTGCCTCTCACTGTGGAGGAAGGCCAGGGCTAGAGCTCTGGTTCAGCGTGGAACCAGGCCTTGGAGCAGGGTCTGGTTTCTTAGAATGACAAGTCACTAACCCAGGTCCTCGCCTCTGAGCAGTATTGGGCAGCCTTGCCTGCTGAAGGCAGGGCTGGTCTGTGACATCTGGATTTAAGGCCTGCCTGAGCATTTGGTGCCAATTCATGTTGCAGTTAAAACCACCTGTTTAGTGGAGCAGTGGAGAGAGGTTGGTGTGAATAAAATAATGTCTTTCAGGAAAAAAAAAAAAGAAGTGGATGCCCTATACTATGGTAGGTATTTTTAATTTTCAGTTTCTACTTATTGTGAAAAGGTTGTTTAAGTGCTCTGCTATAAGGCAGAGTATGGTGGTATTGTGTTCACCAAAATATTGTACACCCTAATAAACTTATCTGGGGTCAGAGACAGAACAGTCACTAGATACAAAGGCTAGAAAATGGTGGCACTCACACCTTTAATCCTAGCACTCCAGAGGTAGAAATACCTCTGGATCTCTGTGAGTTCAAGGCCACATTGGAAATGGCCAGGCATGGTGACATACACCTTTGACTCCAGAAAGCAAGACTTTAATCCCAGGGAGTGGTGGTAGAAAGCAGAAAGGTATATAAGGCGTGAGGACCAGAAACTAGAGGCATTTGGCTGATTAAGCATTTGGCTGGTTAAGCATTTGGCTGGTTAAGCTTTTAGGTTTTGAGCAGCACAGTTCAGCTGAGAGCCATTCAGATATGAGGACACAGAGGCTTCCAATCTGATGAAACAAGATCAGCTGCAAAGGTGGCCAGGTGAGGTTAGCTGTGGCTTGTTCTGTCTCTCTGATCTTCCAGAATTCACCCCAATAATTGGCCTCAGGTTTGTTATTAATATGACTCTTTAAGATTTGTGCTACAGCAGAGTTTCTTAAAAGATCTGTATCCCTTTTTTTTCTCTCTCTCTTTTTTCAGCTTTTTCAGGCCCTAAATGGATATTCAAGCCCCACATTGGGCAGCAAAATGTAGTTGTTCATTTTTACTTTTGGGGGGCCTGGCACCTAGCTCTCAAATAAATTACATGGAGACTTGTTCTTATTTATGAATGCCTGATGTTAACTTGGCTTGTTTCTAGCCAGCTTTTCTAACTTAAATTATCTCATTTGTCTTTAACTACATATTGCTTCTGGGCTTTTACTTTTCTTTATTCTATATGTCTTTCTTTCCTTCTTACTCCATGGCTGGCTAGGTGGCCAGCCTCTGGCATTCTCCTCTCCTCCTTTCTCACCCTTTTCTCTCTTCCCTAGATTTCTCCTCCTATTTATTCTCTTTGCCTTCCAGCCCTGACTATCCTTTCTCCTGTCTAGCTATTTATTAGTCCAATCAGGTGTTTTAGGCAGGCAAAGTAACATAGCTTTACAGAGTTAAACAAAAGCAACATAAAAGAATGCAATATATCTTTGCATCATTAAACAAATATTCCACAGCATAAATTAATGTAACATATCTTCAACTAATATCCACAGCAGAGTTCCTCTCCTGACTTCCTTTGATGATGAACAGTGATATGAAAGTATAAGCCAAATAAACCCATTCCTCTCCAAGTTGCTTTGGTCATGGTGCCTTATCACAGCAATAGTAACCCTAAGACAGCCTTAGAGGTGTTGATTTTTAGATATTGTAGGTTGATAACTGAAGATATTAAGAGAAAATTTTCTTAATGTAAATACTAAAGTGTGTTCATTCTCAAATAATAACTAATAAACAGAAGCTGTTAATACCTGACTAGATAGGATGGTAATTAGTAGCATGAAAGTTCTATAACTGTTTAATAATAATTACCCTAGGAAAAATTTACAAAATTAGAGAAGAGAGTGATTTAGTTTGTTTATAGCACATTCATTTTTTTATTTATGTTTATGTTCTTTCTCTCAGAAATACTCTCAGTCTAAGACATGTAAGACTCTAATTAGAAATAGCAATAAAAGGGCTTAAGAGGTGGCTGAGAACAGTGATTAAGAGCTTTCTAGCTGTTTTTTTGCCAAAGACCCAGATTTGATTCCCAGAATTCATATCAAGTAGCTCACAATTGACTTCATAGTTTCAAGGGAGCCAATGTTTTGTTTGGTCTCTCTGGGCACCTGCATACATGTGATTTTTCTCTATCACATATGTGTGTGTGTGTGTGTGTGTGTATGTATGTGTGTGTGTGTGTGTGTGTGTGTGTGTGTGTGTGTGTGTTATTAAAACACCATCTAGATCTAGTCCAGTAGTTCAGTTGGGTTGCCCAACTAGTCCTGGGTATGAGATCTGCCAAAGAGTGTGATTAATATAACAGGTGTCATTTCATTGAAGAAAATTGGCTATCTCTAATTTAGCAGCACCTATCAATTGCCAATAGCTTCTTATCTAGGACTAGGACTTCATGTCCATCTCCATTACCTCCATGCTGAGACTTTCGTCTGGCTTGGGCTTGTGTACATCTTGTAAATGCTGTCACATTCTCCATAAGTTCATATGTGCTGTGTCTAGGAAACAATTTCCCTGAAGTCATCCACAACCTCTGACTCTTACATTATTTTTGCCTTGTCTTCTACATAGGTCCCATGCCTTGAGGGTAAGGATGTAATATAGACATCCCATTTGGGGCTGAGCATCCAAATGCCTTTCATTTTCTGCACACTGACCAGTTGTGGTTTTCTGTCCGTGTTAATTACCATCTATTGCAAGAAGAAGCTTCTTTCATGAAGGTTGAGGAAAAAAACTGACCTACGGGCATTGCAATGAGACATTAGGAATTGTTTCATTGCTACATTAATTTAGCAGACTTACAGTAGTAGGTTTTCACTCTGGCATATGACTTATCAAGGCACTTATCTTGGCCTTATTGGCAGTGTCAGATGTAGGTTTTGTCTTAAGGACAGTGCTTTAAATCCAATAAAAAATTGAGTGGCAAAACCCACAAGGTCAACAGCAGTTAGATCTTTCCACATTCTATGACTCCAGCATTTGGTATTTTCAGCAATAGGGTCTTATTGTCAAGTTCTAGAGGGTAACCAATAGCATTTTCAATAGCTGGCAATATTTGGGGGCAGTCTATGGGATATCATTGGCCAACAACCCCAAAATGAGGAAACACATTTCTGGTACTGAGGATTTTATTTGGCAGTATATGGTGTCTATTTGGGGGTATTCTCTCCCCTTTATAGGGTAACTCCATTTAAAACTAACAGATTTAAAAAAATATTCTATGTAAATCTACCATTGTCAAGTGATAAAATTTATGGGAATAAAATCCTTTTAAACACTTGGACTGGAGCTGGAAAGGTACCTAAGTGGTTAAGAATACTTATTCTTTCTGAAGATCAGGGTTCAGTTTCCAGCACTCACATCAGGAGATACACAGTGACTGTAACTCCAGTTCCAAGGATCTGCTTCCCTCCAGTCTCTGAAAGATTGCAACAGAGAAACTTCCAGTTTTGGGGGGAAAGGGTGAATGATGAGTACTATGATGATATTCAGGTTTCTCTTGTGACCTGAGATAATTCCTCTTGTGCTAAAAATCTCAGGTTTGTTGCCATAATCAGAGGTGCAACTGGGAAAGGTGCTGTGGAATAATCCTTTTGTATACCATAAGGATTTGTCATTTGAATTGGTTTAATAAAAAGATGACTGGCTGGTAGCCAGGCAGAAAGTATATTGGGACAAAAAAAAACTAAGGATGCTGAGATGAAGAAGAACAGAGTTAAAGGAGACCTCAGCAGATGTAGAAGAAGCAGGACATATAGAAAATGTGGTAACAAGCCATGAGCCATATGGTAGAGGGAAGTTAAAAAATATGGGTTAATTTAAAATTTAAGAGTTATCTAGTAACAAGCCTGAGCTATCATAACTGAGCTATATAACTGAGCATTTACAATTAATAATAAGTTGCTGAGTGTTTATTTGGAAGCAGCTGCCAGCACAGGAAAACTCTTGCCTACAGAAATGTGCTGAGGGATGTCTTTCTGTAACTGTGAATATATGTTCTTCCCAATGCTTAATAAATAAAGCTGCATTGGTCTATGCCAAGGCAGCTTAGAGGCAGGCAGAAATCCAAGCAAATAGACAGGAAGAGAAAGGAGAGTCTGGAGAGACATGAGTCAGCTGCCCAAGGAGCTACATGTAATGGGACTCAGGCAAAGCCACAGAACACATGGCGGTAATACATAGATTAATAGTTATGGGTTGAATTAAGTTATAAGAGCTAGCTAGTAAGAAGCCTGAGCCGTAGGCTATATAATTTACAAATAATATAAGCCTCTGTGTGTTTACTTGGGACCAAGTGGCTTCTGGACCGTGGGTGAGAGAGATTTGTCCTAACTAAGGGGCAGGGCAGGACCAGAGAATGGCTACAGAAAGGAGCATTTCTGGTACTTCCTTCAAATGACCTGAAAGTTAATAAAACCTGCCCTGTGGTCTGGTCATGCACGACCAGTGCCAAATATAAACTGGAGGTCACATAATGTCCAGACTACTGTCAGCAGATATAGAATGGTAAATACCAGAAAACAGTCTCTTGTTTTTATTGTGGTAACTTCAGAAGGCTACTGATACAGTTGGCATTGTGGGCTGGCCTCCAACAGTCACAGGGGCATTCCTATACAGATGTAATAATGGTATCATCTGGAATGTGGTTACAGCAGAGGCATTATTAAAGTGAATTACATGCATTCAGACCAAAGACCCAGCCAGGGTGATTTTTTTTTAATACCAGAATGGAATTTAGCTTCTTGGTTCTGTGTTTTGACCAAAATGAATGAATGAATAAACAAACAAACAAACAAATAAATAAAATTTAATACTACAAACACTGTCTCCTAGTCATGTTTCTATTGCTGTGATAAAGCCCATCACCAAAAGCAACTTGGTGAAGAATGAACTTATTTCACCATATTGCTTAAAATCCAACATGAAGAAAAGGCAGGGCAGGAATTTAAGGCAGGAACCTGGAGGCAAGAACTGAAGCAGAGAGCATGGAGGAGTGCTGCTCATGGGCTTGCTTCCCAGTGCTTGTTCTGTTTGATTTCTTATGCCTCTGAAATCACCTGTTAAGTGTTCACCATAAGCTGGGCACTCCCACATCATTCATTAATCAAGAAAATGTACTACAAATGTGCCTATATGCCAATCTTACAAAGGCATTATTTAAATTAAAATACCTTCCTCCCCACATCTTTGGGACAGCAAGGAATGATATATTGGAGCATTTGGAGGGAGGAAAGGAAGACAGA